AAAGTGATATTTCTAAAGAATAATTGAGGACGCTTTATTGGATTTTAACAAAGTTTATGATGCCGTGGAAGTCATGTTTCACACATGGTGATTTTAGTAAATTGATAGTTTCATTGAGTTGTGATTTTTCTAACATTTGTAACTTATTATGTGGATTTTCTATGCGAACATTAGCAACGAAGTGAATGAAATATGACGGATAATGAATGGAGTGCAATATCTCAAATATGAGTGACCATTGGGAAGCATTTTGAAGTTCGATGAGTAAACTGTGACCTAGAGTAAGTTGGATGAGTGATGAAACAATATTTTTGCTGATTTGGAATTTTTTAACGGCCGTCAGACGCCACCTAGAAATTTCGTCTGCCACGTCAGCGCCCAACAAACAGATTTTTTGACAGTGGTGGATTGAGAGGTAAATGGCAAAGTTGAGTGAGTACCGTGAAACAGAATGAAGTTCGGTGAGTAGTCCGTGACCATGGTACAAGTTCAGTGATTTTGAAACAATTTACTCTGGATTTACAAATGTCAGTGGTTGAATCCATGTATTCCTACAGGTCATGGAAATGAGTAAACACATGTAGAAGACAGTAGTGTACTATGGTCTTCATGAATCTCTTGTATTTTGGTTGTTCTAGAAATAATTCACTGAATTTTACTGTTGCATTGGATATTAACCCTTCCCCACTCTGCTACACCCTCGACCATAATTAACTTTTTTCTTCTCAGAATCATCAACTTGTAAGAGGGCCATGGTTTTCCCTCATTATTATCAGCTTTCTTCTTCTTAGAAAAATAGCTTTTATGGTGTTGGAGGTGTGGGGCGACAGCAACAGTGAAGAGGCCGATTTTTGTAACACAATTAACCAGACAATGGGGTGTGTGAGCAACACCGCCTCCAACCATCATCCACCTTCCATCAACGCCACCATCATCAGCTGCTATAAGCTACCACCATCATGCCAACAACCTTTATTAATTTCTCCACAACAAACTTTTTTTACCTTCGAATATTACTACAATTTAGATTTGAAACTGGAGAAATAAAATAATGAAGAAAGTTCATATTTGGAAAAAAAGTCTGTCACCATTAACATCATCACACTTTTTTCTTCCGGTGAACATCACCACAATTTAAATCTGAAAATGAAAAAATCAATCTCAATAAGAAATGGAGAATTTTAGATTTAAGGATGAAATCACCAAGTTCATATATGAAATTAAAGATTTGGGGTGGGTTTAGGGGACTAATTTTAGATCTAAATGCAAAAACATATTCTACAGGAAGAAAGAGTGTGGCGGGGGTGGGGCAGCTGAAGAAGACAACCCCTTTTTTGATTTTTTGGTTCATTTATTTAATATGGTAATTATTAAGTTACAATTTTACCATTTTTAATTTGCCCAAAATTCATTTTTCTTAGTCAACTAACGGTCAAATGGATGGAAACCGTCCATTTGGACCTCTGCTACATATTATTGACGTTGGCATAAATAGAAGATTATGATAAAGTTTGCAAAAAAGTGAAAAGTTAAGAATCGCTACTGCAATTTTCCATCTGTTTCAATGACTTTAAATTCTCCACTTCTGATAAATTGGTTAAATAGTTAAATAATATAAAAGTAAAGGAGATTATATAATGCAAACCCACGTAGCAGTTGAAGCTACGAAACCCACAATAGATTAAATCAAACCCAAGAAAACCAAAAATCAACGCTTGAAAGAAAGCTCGTCTCAATAAATTATTGAACCAAAGAATCAAGAAATTGCAACAATATATTGACCCCGTGATCACAAAATTTATGAACCTTACTTGAATTATTGGATGCCACAATAATTTAATTCTTGATAAATTCGAAATTAATTGGATGAAGAATGGGAAGAAAGCAATATGCGTTGCAATAATATCTCTCAAATTTTGTATTTTCTCTACAATGAATGGAATGTGTTCTATTTATAAGGAACTCATAAAATCTAATTAAAAACAAAACTAATATTCAAAATATCGAGAATTACCATAAAATTATAATTTTAAATAAACTAAAATTCTTTCCAAAAATTGAAAAATTTGCCCTACAATTGTGTTATGTGGCCGCATAATGTATGGACATGCGGTATAGAGAGGCATGCTAGGAATACTATGTGGTTGCATAGTTACTCTTTCCAGCTTTCTCGTCTGCTATTTGGACCAAGTTGATCCATCTTGTTTCTTCTTCCAAGCCTAACATGAAACTTGTTCTTTTGTTTGTTATGATCGATATTTTGTCCACTGTATCTTGAGCAAGCAATCTCATAGCTTCCTTGACCTTTTTTGCCTATGACCTCGTCATTGGTCCTTCCTCCACGATCAACAAATCCTTGCCCTAGCTAACTCTCGTACATTGGATCTCATCATTCTCCCCCCTTCAAAAGGATTTGTCCTCGAATCTCCACCTGCATAAAACAAGGAAAGATCATAAACATTGAAAGTAGTAAAAATGTTATTCTTACCTGGAAAGTCCAACTTATAGGTATTGTCATTGATCTTTTCAAACACTTGGATTGGTCCATCGCCTCTTAATTGCAACTATAACTTTCTTTGAGCTAGAAAATGCTCATTTCTCATATGTACCCAGACCCAATCTCCTGGTTCAAATGTAACGCGCTTTCGTCCCTTATTTGTTTGAATAGCATAATGTTCATTTTTCTTCTCTATTTGGCATCGTTCCTTCTCATGGAAGGATCTTACCAACTCGACATTCTTCTTTCCATCTAAACTACCTCTCTCATCAATAGGTAAATGAATTAAATCCAAAAATGTTAGTTGATTAAAACCATAAACAATTTCAAACGGAGTATAAGAAGTAGTAGAATACGTGGCCATATTATATGCAAATTCTATGAATGACAAGCAATCCTCCCAACTCTTCAAGTTCCTTATTGACTATAGTGCGCAATAGTTGTATCATAGTCCTATTAACAACCTCAGTTTGCCCATCTGTTTGTAGGTGACATGTTGTAGAGAATAATAGCTTAGTTCCTAACTTACCCCCATAAAACCTTCCAAAAATGACTAAAGAATTTAACATCCCTATCCGATAC